TTTTAGTTCCCCATATAGCAAAGATGAGAAACTCCTACAATGCTTTGCCATATGGGGATCTACTATTTGCCCATCCTTGCAGGATTCTATATAGCACGGAACAGTGTTTGTATGTTTAAATGTGGGCATGTTTTGATGGAGTATGTGTGTAATGTTACCACTTGAATGTTGAGATGTATGCACAAATACACATACACTGCCACACACACACAAACAAACAAACACACACAAACACACATACACACACACACACACTGGTACACATAATACCCACACACACACACACACAAACACACACACTGATACACATGCAGATACACAGAGACACAGATGCACGCACTGACACTCAAAAAAAAAACACTCGTGCTGGTCAAAATTTACACTTTTTAACAAACCTCCAGTTCCCTATGTTTTTGGTGCTGGAGGGTGGCTTCCCTGAGGTCCAGTCTGCTAGCTGAGGCTGTTGAGAGTCTGGCTCTCTCAGTTTGTGCCCTCTTCCTCTCTGCCTTCTTCCCCCGTGCAGCTAGGTTTCACTAGCTGGGAGGAAGTGACCAGCTCTCTGGCTGCCAGTATGAGAGGGGCCCGGTTATGCTGTTAAAGGGCCGCAGAGCATGATTGGGCCCCTGATGACACATGCCCACCAGGTGACCCTAGGTTCATGGGCTAAATGATGGGCCCCCTTAGTGGGTGAGCCCCGGTGCACTCACACTGGTTGCACTGACAGTAGTTCCGCTGCTGGTAAAAATAAATATTTTGGTGAACGCTGCACCATATGCCTGTTTTTTTAGAAAATGCATGCACCTAACAGTACTGAATGATCTGAACTACAATGCAACCTGCATTAGAAAAAAGGGACACCCAGGACGTGTAGTAAGGATAGCATTGCCTGTTTGCAGTTTCTCTGACTGTCTGCAGCCAGGTTGTGAATTAAAAGTCGCTTGCTCAGTGCTTCTTGGAGTTAATACTGTGTACATACTTTTGATAAGGAAGTCTTTCTGGCTTGCGGGGGCATGACTAAGAAGGCAGGTACAGCATTTTGCAAAACATTTAATTTTATGTGCAGACACTAGGAAGCTATAAAGCAGGGGTAGGCAACCTTCTGGTATCACTGTGCCATAGTAAAGCTTTGAATTCCAATAGTGCCTTAGACCCTGTTTTTAAAGGTAACTTTATGTATGTCGCTTTCTGCATGTTTTATGTGTGCATATGTGGGTAGTGTTTGGTTTTGTGTATGTGTGTGGGTTGGATGTATTTGTGACTTATGTAAATGTGTGGTGTGTTATGTCCAGTGTATATGGTGGTATTATATTTGTGTATTTAGGGGTTTGCAGCATTGCATGTTGGTATGGATTATTTGTAGGGATCTGTGTTTGTGTGCTGTTTGTTGTATTGCGTGAGATTATGGGCTGCCTGTTGTACTATTTATATATGTGTGCGGTGTTTGAGATATTTATTGTGGAGCTGTCCGTGCAGTTATGTATATGGACTGTTTATGACATTCTGCATATGTTGGCTGCCTGCTGGGTTATCTGTGCGTGCTGTCGTGTTTTTGTGTGTATGGTGGCTGTCTGTGATGTTAAAATGGTGTATGTGGATTGAATGTACTATCTGTGTGTGTGATGAGGGCTATCTTTGGTGTTGTGTGTATATGGCATTTTGTATGTATGTATGTATGTATGTGGAAGAGTATGTAGTACTGTGTGTGTGTGTGTGGTTTGCTCATTGCATTATGTATGTGTGTGAGCTGTTTATGCTGTTCAATGTGTGTATGTAGGTTGCCTATAGTACTTGTATGTGTGGTGTAGGCTGTCTGTGGTATTGTGGTGAGGGAACTGTATGTCGGGATGTGTGTTTGTGACTGTTCATAGTGTTACGTGGGAAATTGTATGTGGATTGTGTGGGAACTGTTTGTATAGATCTTCATTTATGCAAGAAATATTGTTATAATGAAAATGAAATATATATAATTGTTTTATGTTCTTCTTGCCTACTTTTGTCAAGGATAAATCATGAATAATCATAATGTAAGTTGGACCGGGCATATATAGATGATGTTTAGGCAGATTTTATTTGAAAACCACATAATGTTTCAGCCTCCACAGGAGCCTTTATCAAGGATAAGGTATGAACCATCATTGTTCCCTGGTTTGTGTTCCCTGGCGGTCCAGTTTTTGCATTTCACGGTCTGCACCGTCTGTAGATGTAGTCTTTCCAGGGAGTTCAGAACTGCAAAGAAAGGCTAGTTGTGGTCTTAGCAACCACTGGAGGTGCAGACTACAGGCTCCCTTGGGCTCCAGTGGTTAGGGCACTATTGGTGGGCTAGGGAAATTCCCTGACCTCCCCAACTGCCATATTTGGGTTGGCAGCCCCACCTACCATTCAATGGCACCCTGCATTTAATGCATGCATGGCATGTGGGAGAGGTTGTTAACTCTTGGTATAAATATTTAAGCTTTCAAAAAAATTGTGCATATTAATGAGGTTAGAATCTATCAAATGCATTTAAATTGTATCTGTGCTCAGAGTTAAATAACTATAGGTTGCAGTAACAGTACTATGCAGACAAGCATCTCTGAATGCACAACATGTAGAACCCTGAAATAGAATCCACGATAGCTTTCACTGCTGTCAGCTAAGTACAGGAAAATGTTGCTACAACACGGCAGAGGTGTTTTTTAATGCCATGCACAGAATAAAACACAGTGGTGGACATTAAATAGACTAGTATGGTTTTATGCAAATGTTTGTGCTATTTGGTTTGCTGATATTAGTTCAAACCTAATTATGTCCCCGGAGAGGAGCTACAGCTACTGAATTGTCTCTTAAGTTCTTCTACCGATGAACCTTATACTAACAGAAAAGGGTTGAATTAACTTGTCTCAATCTTGGATTATGCATTTTGTAACTATTTAAAAAGAAATGGACCAGAGTTAGGGATAGGATAAAACATGATCAGATCTCTAAGTTGGCCATCTACAGGTAGAAAATCTTCATATATTGAAGCCATTTGAAGACTACTGTTCCTTCAAATGAGTTGTTACTATAATATTACACTAAAACTAGCAAAGAGTTATTTGTTTGTCAACATTTCGTAAACCTATTTGACCAATAAACAAATTCACAAAAAAATTGTTGATTTGCTCTTTCATTCATCTGCAATTCAGTTTTTTTCCAATTTTAACAGATACTGGTTTAATCACCACGTGATTTAGACCAGAACTCGGCTTCAGGTTTTCCTGGCCCAAGAATCTCATTTCAGTATATTTCTAAAACAAGGATTGAGATAGCACTACATACTGTACACAGTGAGAGTAATATCTGTTTTTTAAATCCTGCTTCAGAATGTGGGATCATAGGCTGCTCTTGTTTGGAATCCCCTGCTCGCCTGAAGAACCTGTTCATATTTGTTCAATCGGATTTCATTCTCAAAGGCTTAGAGAGCTATCGAGAAAGCAAGTTAAATAATCCCCCAAGGATAGGGACCCTGAAGAAAACATCTTTTTAACATGTCCTCACGCACAATTCAATCACCGTGTCTGGACCAGAAAAGCGTTAATTCCTACCTTGGCTCCTAAGAAAATCATTATTTTCAGTGTAAAAACTGCACATTTGTAGATGCTTGTTAAACAGAAGTCCTTTTAACATCTGTTCTCACTCTGCAGTCATCCACCCGGTGAAATAACAATTACAAATCAGATGGAATGTTCAACTCGGTCCTGGGTGATGTCAGTGCTCCAAGGACTAGTCTAGGCTATAAAACAACAGCCAATTAAAAAAGATCAGGGTGAGGAATACAGAACTCCGCTCCAGAACACTGAGCTGTAAAAATGGATTGAGACCGACATGAGGATAGATATCACGTGGTAACACTTCTGCTGATAAATCTCTGACTGCAAGAAAGTAGCCCACTGATGGAAATGTAAAAGAACAAACAAGTCCAGGGAAAGATAAAAATAAAAAACAAACTGAAATAAACGCAAAAATTACAAACGAAATAGAGTAAGGTTCATAAAAGTTCTGGTTTCCACATTAGACATTACTTTTACTAGCGGTTATGTCTTCCAATGCACTGCACACTTTTCTTGAAGAAAGGGTGAAAGAACAATTACAAATACAATTAAAATGACATATTTCTGTCATGTTAATAAACCATAATAATAATACATACAATAATTTGAAATGAAATTAACAGCAGTAGAAACATTATGGTGTGTTCTATCTATCTATCTATCTATCTATCTCTATCTATCTATCTATCTTTCTGTCTGCCTGTCTGTCTATGGATCTATCTATGGATATATCTGTCTGTCTATTATTTATATATCTGTAGGCTTCATCAGAGACCTGGGCTGCAGGTCGTTTGATTTGGTTAACAGTCAGTTCCAGATACTGGGAACATAGAAAAAGCTGGAGGAGTCCAGATGGTCATAAGTGGCCTTACTCCAAACTTTGATGTATTTGTAAGATGTCTAAGTACTTGGAAGTTTTCTTTACGATAACTCTATCTGCAGGAATGACCTGTATCTAGATGTTTATATCTGTCAATGCAGTGCACTGGTGCTGACGACAAAATCCTGAAAACTTTTAATTAATTGTATTTGACTTGCACAAGAATGAAATATGCACATTGTCCTAATTTCAGCCTTTATAAATAGCCTGTGTCTGCGTGCAAATGCTATCTTTCCTGAAGGGTTTTGAATGGTCTCAGAAAGGCACAAGCACTTATTTCTCTCCGGGAGATTACCATGAATCTTTTCTCAATATCTGTTTCTGTTCGACTAATTGGAATGATGCAACCTTGCAGGTATGACATGCGGTGAGTGACAGGTATCAGGGCGGGTGGCAAGAGAAAGTGCCGGAGAGTGACAGTACAGAATGTGACTGCAATATGAATACATTTCCACTCCAAGTAATTACATTCCAACAATTCTGCTATTATGCCTGTGGGAAACCTAGCCACTTACAGAGTATTATGTATAAATATGTCTGATGTTTGTTTTTATTGTGTCTCTATTCGTGAGTCACTTAACCCCTGTTAAATGTATCCGTATGCAAAGATTTTCACCTAACGTTCATATGCATTCGTGTGTTACGGCACACGAATACCGCTAACACGCTGTTGCAAGTTTCACGAACAGTGGATTCCAACCCTGTTTGTGAAACGAACCAAAAGACCGAATGGGAGACCACCCCAGAAGGTTGTGTGCCGCTCGATAGTAAAACCGAAACACTGTATCCATCTGTTAATGAGCGTTCTTTGTGTGGCCACTGTTCGTGTACAGAATACGTGGCAGCGGCCATCTTTGCTTTGTTAGAGTTCAGCGGTGTTTGGTTGTCGAGTGCCTGGAACCAAAATCGGCTACTTGATTTCCAAACACCGCTGGACTTCCATAGTGGTCGGGAAACTCTCTCCTTCAGGAAAATAAAACCATTCGTGAGTTTTCTCTGCTAAAACCCCGTTCGGGTAAATGTTTATTGCGAGCAGTGTTCGACTGTTTCTGCAGGGATCAGAGCGGTACTTTGGTATATTGTACCGATCGATCCCTGCAATCTAATAAGGGGTCATTCGGTAAAATATGTGGGGAATTGCCGAAGTTAGCGAATTTAATGTAAAATGTTACTTTTTCCTGTGCCTGTTAATAACGTAATTATTTCTCTGGTACAGCAGTGTATGCTGGGTAATCAGACTGTAAGCTCAGTCCCCCATGTAGTCCACTACTGTACAACCTGGGAATGTGACCTTGGAAACCCCTTACATTTGTAACCACATAAATACTGTGACCTGTGATTAAAACCTCAGTTGACCTCCAAGCTATGTGTCGTCTAGTTCTTGGGAGATAGGGATTGTAACTACGCTACCTGGATTTTGCCTACTTTGTACCTGCTTTATTCTGTCTGCCAGCAGAGATACCATGGATAATACTACTACTCCGCTACAATCCCTTTCTGGGATACAAACTGCGTTTCGGAACGGCCGTTGTTATTATTTCCTACTTAAGTAATCTCCTATGTTTCTATATAGAGTGTTTATTATAGAAAGCTTTGTGAAATGAGTCATAGAAAAACCAGGTTTTGCGAAAGCAGCAGAAATGGAGGTTCACTCGGTTATATGCTGGCAAGGGGTCTAAATAGCAATCGAGAAACAGGGTTCTTTAACCACTTATGGACCAAAGACATCATCGTATTGCAGGATTTGCCTAAACCCTGATCTTTTAAGACATTAAAGTTTAATTATAGCCTGTAGCCCTGTATCAATTTAAGGCCATTTGCCAAGTTAAACAAAATAAAATACTGATTACTGAGAACAATTAAAGTACAAGATGTATAATGAGTCCCAATTAATCACAGCTCCTCTTCACTAAGTCACTTTGGTTAATCCAGAAGTTGTTTTAAAGTATCCCCAGTTAATTCAAGGTTTTAGGACTCATTATCAAATCTAAGGCAATGCTGCATGCCCCACTATGTCAGGATCATTTACTTGGGGCCCACCCATATATATAAGACTTTGGGATCTTTTCTGTGCAGGTCATTAATGGTCTTTGGGTCAGCCAAATGTGTTTTATGAACAAAAGCACTGTGGCTATGTCAAATGTGCACACATACAAAGAAACATACACATATGCACAGACACACACACATATACATACATAGGCATATACATACAAATATTAAAAATACACGTTGAAATATTGCATTGATTGAAAAGTAGAATAATATTTAAAAATGGTTCAGTTTAAGTGCATACATTCTAAAAAATAAAATTAAAATTAAAGTGTAGGTACATAAAAAATAGAGATAGGTGTGTTTGTTTATGAAGACCAGGAAAAGGCAGACATTTAAAAAAAAACTATTTCCCATCAGTATATACTAAGGAGGAACCTATGGCAATAGAAACGCAAATGGTTGCTGAAAAAACTTAGAGAAAAATTGTGATTTGTTGACTCAAGACAAGGAGCTGCTTGCAACTAAGAAAGTTCATGTAACAAATCTCTGGAGCCTTATGTCATTCACCCATGAGTACCTAAGGGGTTAAGTTCTTTTTTTTCAGGAATTGTACCAGAGGATTGGAGAAATGCAGATATGGTTTCTATATTCAAAAAGGGTGCAAAATATTTGTATGGAAATTAAAGACCTGTGAACTTCGGCGGCTGGGAAAGTATTTGAAAATTCTTTAATATTCAGGAATTAATTGAGAAGAACATTGTTATTATCAACAATAAGCCTGGTTTAATAATATGTAGGTTGTGCCAAACTAACTTAATTGCATTCTACAAGAGGTAAGTGTAAGTATAGATCAGGATGTTGCAGTGGATGTGATCTACTTGGACTTTGCCAAGGCGTTTGATATGGTTCCACACCACAGGTTAGTGTTCAAACTAAAAGAAATTGGTCTAGCTGGAAATTCTGGTTCTTTGGTAGAACATTGGCTTAAGGATACATGCAGTTGTAAATTTTCAAGTTGGACAAAATTGGTAAGTGGTGCCTCTCATGGTTCTGTTCTGAGACCAATTCTCTTCAACATATTTATAAATGAGCTTAAAATAGGCATTAAAACTCTGTAAAATAATACAATGTGAGTAGGATATTACTTTGCTGCAGAGGGAGTTTGATAGACATGGGGACTGAGCACTCAATGGCAGATTAAATGTATTGTAGATAAATGCACTTTGGGGTAAAGAATGAATAAGCAACATACACCCTAAAAGGTAGTGAATTAGGGGTAGAAACAAACTAGAAGGATTTGGGAATTGTTATAGACAAAAGCTAGGCAACAATGTGCAATGTCAATCAGCAGTTACTCAGGTAAGTAACATGTTGTCATATATAAAAAGGGCCTTAATTCTTGGGATGAAAATATCATTTTGTGTATTTGTAAATCAATGGTAAGACTACATCTTGAAAATGCTGTTCAGTTCCAGGCACCAGCTCTGAAGAATAATAGTATGGCACTAGAAAAAGTGCAGAGGCAGGCTGCATAATTGATAAAAAAAATAATTGCATTTTTTAGTTATGAAGAAGGCTTCACAAATTTAAATATGCATAGTTTAGAAAGCAGAATCTCAGAGGGGATATGATAACATTATACAAATATATTCGTGGCCAATGCAAACCATGTGTGGAAATCTATTCATAAACATTACTATACATAATTTCTAAAAAACACAGGATAGGCGCTTGCTGTAACAAAATAATGGGCAGCAGTGAACCAGCAGGGATTCCCCAACCCTGCTCAAATTGTAACACGTAAAAAAAAGAAAAAGTGTGGTAGACCGCGCCAACAAGTAGAATATTATACAAAAGAACCGTGTCAAAAACCTTTAGATACTATACGTTTTTGACATGGTTCTTTTGTATAATCTACTTTGTTGGCGCGGTCTACCACACTTTTTCTTTTTTTTTCTCATATTACTATACATAAGTCTCTGCCTGAAGAAGTGGTTTTATCAGAGGCTGTACAGATGTATAAACAGCAACTGGATGAAGACTTGCAAAAACATATTCAGGGATAAAATGTTTAATTAGTGGGGCTATATCGTCTTGATCCAAGGAGAGATCTGACTGCCATATTGACGTCAAGAAGGAAAAATTTCCTAGTTTGTTGTAAAATTGGAACTCGCTTGAAACAAAAACAGATGTGAATTTGATGAATTCATGGATCAAGCCTATATAACTATGTAAGTATTTTATGTATGAGGTGTGAGTGTGGTGGGGGGCGAGGGTTTTTCTTATGTTTGACCTTTTTTTTTATAATGACCTCTAATGTCTGAGGTGTAGTAGTGAGTAGTATGATTGCTTATGTTTTTCTTACTCAAGACACTGGAACAGATTAAAGCAAACTTGGACTGGCTTGAGTTTAATTTGATTAGAGTCGGGAGCTTTTGACTAAAATGCTATCAGTTGTTCAACAACATATTAAATCCAGCACGCTCACTCATTCACTAAACAGCAATTTCAAAACTCACAGAATGTAAAGGCTTTAAAAAATAAATAAAAATTAGGCGCCATACCTTGGAAAAATAATGGGGGTTTAGTTTCAGTATATGATCATGCATTGCATAAGCCTGCCACAACACCAATGTACCCCATTTTTGGCAGGTTCTATCCTAGCAACCTAATGCCTGCGCTTATGAGATGAATCCACTTACTTGAGAAATCCTTCCTGGGGCTCTCCTACTTGAGAAATCCTTCCTGGGGCTGCAGTGTAAGGTTAAATAGTGCCTGGAATGAGGAGTGTATGTGCACATGTGTGTGTGTGTACATTTGTGTGTGTGTGTGTGTGTGTGTGTGCACAGATGCGTGTATGTCTACACAACCCTCACCTTGAAAGTATTGTATGAACTATTTCCTATGAAGATCTGTATTTATTAATTAATTGTTTGCTTTAAAAAAGAGGATTATAGACCTAAAGCCTCTTCCTTTTATTTGTTTATTAAATAGTTGAACTGTAGCACTAATTACTAATACGTTTTAGTGCAATTAGCTTAAATTACACTCTCATTAGTGTTCCTCTTTCATGGGAATAGCGTGGGTTAACGGTATTTAGAGAACTGCAAATGACTGCAAATATCCGTATTGAGAAACAAAAGTACATTGTGCATTCTGTTTGCACAGAGAATTTGCAGAGTATTGTTTTATATAAAACAAGTTAAATTCACGTTAACTTGAGAAAGACATGTTTACTGATACAGTGAAGGCAATGGCTAATTGAATATCTCTGAAAATGTTGGATTCCTGCCAGAAATATCTGATCACAACAATTAAAAGACTTCAGATTCGGACGAATTAAGACTGATTGGCTGTGTTCATTATCTCTGAAGTGCCATGTGGATGTATAACTGAGCAAATGGCTGGACCATACCTGAATTTGTTTGGATGCTTCAAGAAAAAGGGGACGGAATGGAAAGGAAGCTGACTTTTTTTAATGGAATGCCAATAAGAATCTTAGTTTGCCATGATGGACAGGAGGTCTGCCTAATGATATAGCCTGCAAATCCTGCCCAATCAAGAGCGAGAATTTTTTTTAAAATACAGCAGGTCCACTGGTGCTGTATCTGGCCGGGCACTTTTGTCAGCAACTACCATCAACAGTACCTCATCCACTACTACTACCACCACCCTTAGGCATAGCAGGATAAATGGTGAGGATAGTGTCAGTAGTTGACAGAGGCAGGCTGGACACGAACAGTCAGACCTCTTATCATCTGGTGAATGGAAAAAAAATAGACATTTTTTTTTTTAAATTCACACATTTTGATTTACTGAT